CAGAACGGTTTAGCTGTGGGTAAGGTGAGCTGAGTTTAAACTGGTAGTCACTTCGTGTGGAGTTTATGGGAGATATCATCACACTTATCTTGGTTTCACAGAAACCAGTGACTAAAATCAATCAGTCTTGCAGATGAGAGCAACAGGATGCAAACTTGGTGTAAGTTGTGACTGTCCTCCGTTCAAGCTGTGCTGCTCATGTAACGTCCTCTTCATCATGCTTAGAATAAACAAACTTGGATGATGCTTAAAAATGTCAGGTTTTCCAAATGACGCATGTTTTTGTGTTGGTCACTTTTGACTTTAATTAAAGATATTCTGTGATGTTTTTAGAGAACCTTTCAATGCCATTTTTTGCAGCAAGTCTTTGATACTTATTATTATTATTTATTATATTAGCTCTGGCTGTAGAAGCGCTGATAATCTGTCCTGTGACGCTCTAGCCAGACTTTGCCAAGACAAAAAGTACGTAACCAAAAAGTAAAACACTGCCTGCATGTTCTCACTGATACTTTTCAGAGAAATGCGGAGAGCCTTAAAAAATTGTAAATGAACTTGTGTTCTGAGGTCAAATTGACTGTAAAGATAAAGGTAACTTTTTAGAACATTGCTTGCTGTAGTTTGTCATTTTCAGGAAACTGTCCAGATATGATTTATGACTTTTCATCCACTACTGATGCACTAAGTCATCCTTTGCTTGAAGATTTAGAGTTGAGGAAAATATATGCAGTGTGCCGGGAGCTTTGAGCAGTCGTTTTGAGATAGGCTGTTTCCATAACATACCTCTGCGTATATGGTTGTGGAACAAAAGGTTTTAACCTTCTTGTAGTTTAACCCCCGGCGGCAGCTGAGCTCCATCATGGCTAACCATGACTTGGGAGGACAAACACCATCACTCCAAACATCCCCACCTCCTCCTTCCCCCAGCTTTATATGCTGAGCATGATGTCATATGGTGTGGAATATCCCTGTGGTCAGTTGGGGTCAGCTGTCCCGGCTGTGTCCCCTCCCAACTCCTTGTGCACCCCCAGCCTGCTCGCTGGTGGGGTGGGGTGAGAAGCAGAAAAGGCCTCGACTGTGTGAGCACTGCTCAGCAGTAACCAAAACATCCCTGTGCTATCAGCACTGTTTCCAGCACAGATCCAGAACACAGCCCCGGCCGAGCTACTGTGAAGAAAATTAACTCTATCCCCACCAAAGCCAACACAAACTTTGAGGGGGAAAGACAGACGGTAACTTGGAAGTGATTTCTGTTGCTTCCTGTGCTGCAATCAAAAGTTAACGTTCTGTTACAACGCTGACATGTAAGACTGCTCAGAAGTGACTGGGCTACCTGAATTGCGTAGTAGCGAGCACTTACAAAGTTATTATCAATTATCACAACCTGTCTTTGTGTATAGAGTGGTCAGGGAGTTCGAGATTGGTGGATTCTGCACACCTCAGGTTTTGTTCTGTACTGGCATGTAAGCATGTGCTTTTATTTTCGTTTTTAGCAAGCTTTTTTTCATGATACATGCAGAAGGAAAGCAGGAAAGGAAAATAAAGATTGTACAGACAGACATGATTGTTACGTTTGCTGTCTTGAAAACTTGATGGTCTGGTGAGTGGTGGAGAGGAATGAACTTTGTGTGAAGTGAGGTACCCAACCGTCTGAGGTACTGAAACGTGCAGCAGCTGGAGTAAAGCTTTAGTATGTTGTATAGATTGAGAGTTTAAATTATCAAATCTCTTTCAGATGCATTTTGTAAAACTGAGAAAAGACCTTTGTCATGGTTTTACTTTCTATTACACTGTTGGGTTGAATAATGATGAATTACTGTTCTCTTTAATAATAAAATTAAAGTCTTCAATTCTGATGTCATTGTAGGTAGGCCTGCAGTGAGTCGTATTGTATTGCTGCAGTCTCTAACAGGCGCAGTCTATTCAAAATTCTTTGTTGCAGGACCTAAACGTTACCTATTTTGGGTTCCTTTTCAAAAGAAGTTATTTCTCTCATTTCAAATTGCAGAAAGTTATTGGATTTTGAATGAACTTAAATTTCTGTCTTCATTAGTGGTTTGGTTTTTCTTCCCCTCTTGTAGAAGTAAATGAGTTTCCTATTTAAGTTTTGTTTTCATTATCTTCAAAAATATGTTTAAATACTAGACTTGGTACAGTATCGGTGCTCCTAGAGGTTTGTGTTCCATGAGACGCTCCACCCACTCATGTGGCAGGGAAAGGTGTTTAATACAGTAGCACTGACTTTAGCCTTGCATACCTTTTAAGAAAAAAGAGCAATATATAATAATATAAAGAAATCTTTTCCTGTTCTTATTTCCCTAGGAAGATGTTGATATTCCCAGTAGGCGAGTTTTGATTACTGGTGCTACGGGACTTCTTGGCAGAGCTGTGTTTAAGGAATTCAATGAAAATAATTGGAATGCAGTGGGCTGTGGATACAGGAGAGCTCAGCCCAGGTTTGAACAGATTAATCTTCTGGACTCTATTGCAGTTCATGACATTATCCATGATTTTCAGGTAAGTTTCTGGAGCAGGAAGTAGATGGATAAGGTACTTTTTACCTAGTAATCAGTTGATAGTGCTGTTCTGATACTGAGTTCACGTGGCTTTAGTAGGGCTGATGCTTTGGCAGAGCTGTGAAAAAGTTACGGCCGCCTTTTCTGCCCAGTCTGGAGTGCAGGTCTGGTCTGTGAACTTTGCTACCATCACCATAGGCTGTAGGTAAGAGATGTTGTGTCAGCATGCTTGCATTGGTAGTGGAAAGAAGAAAATGTGAGTTATTGACACAGTAATATGAGGCGGTTCTTTTCAAGTTGAAGAACACTTGACTACAGCAGCAGTGACCGTATGTCTCGCATGCGCTGCAGTAAGAAGTTTACTGATTTTTCAGTCTACCTTGCAAGAGGAATATATAAAAGCTGAAATACATTATACAGCGTGCCATTCCATGAAATGGCTTTAAATATCTTGTTAATAGTCTGCATATGTCAAATAAGGTGCATGTAAATGGCTTAGGTAAAAATAGTTCAGCTAATTTTTTTTTTTTTAAGTACCATTGTGTGTGTGAGAGACATATTATTATTATTATTATATTATTATATAGAGTTTAAAAAATCTCCAATAACTTTGAGTGTGCTGTAAAATTGAAGCTACTGAAGATCATAATTGCAAAATTAATGATTAATGTTTTTGGTATCTTGAAGCAGCATGGTTCTATTTAATTCCTAAGGAAAACATGCTCCTCAGAGGGCCACAATTCAAGATACTGCTGCTACTACTTTTATTACTTCTCACAACTTAGTGAAATGCCTTTTTGCCCGAGGGAGTTTATCACGAGAGTTACAGTGCAACTGCAGTCTCTTGACAATGCTTGTTGTTTAAAATTAGTCTTTAATTTCCAGCCTCATGTTATAGTGCATTGTGCTGCTGAGAGAAGGCCAGATGTCGTCGAAAGTCAACCAGATGCTGCTTCTCAGCTCAACGTGGCTGCTTCAGGGAACTTGGCGAAAGAGGCAGGTAAGGAGACCATCCAATGGGTTCGGTTTCTTGTTAAAATACTGCATTTATTTATACAGGCACATAAATATGAATAAGTTTCTCCAAGTGGTGAATGTCATTTCTGCGGTCAGAGTGCCGTTGATCCGTTTTCTGTAAGGGCAGCGTGCATGTCTGTGTGAAGGATCACTGAACAGAAGAAGCAGCAGGA